AGTTCACCTTCGACTCTACTTTGAAGAGTCCTTTATCTAGGATCTCTTTCTTAGCCTTATGGGGGAACAAGCGGCATGCTACGGCCGCCTGCAAGAAGGGGCGAATTCCTGTTCCACCTGTTGAAGCGCTTGTTCAGCTCTGTGTCTGAACTCTCAATGATAAGGAAGGTGCTCCGCCAGTCCTTCCATTTGTTTGCTTTACCTCTCGTCATGAGGTAGCCCCTGTGGCTTGTCAATTGATACCAGCCGGTACCGCCTGCCTTAGGGGTCCGGCTGAGGTAGTTCATGTGGGCGAAAGCCTCGAAGCTCGGCTCCACCCCGTGCAGTTCGCACCCGGCCACATAGCCGAGTACGTTGACCCAGGAGTTCGGGGCTAACTGCCATAACCCCAACTCATACCCATCCAAGATCCGCTGAACAACCGGATGTAGTGGGAAGCGCAGCCCAGCCTTGATGGCCGCCTCGTAGCAGCCAAAGAAGGCGCTATCATAACTGGTACCAGCCGGCCAGACGACTGTGTCTTCTGGATCCGGCACAAACACTAAAAAGCCAGGGCCCATTGTGTGGTTTGCGATAAAGCTCTCCACTTTCTCTTCCATGGCTGTGATCCGACCCCGAGGTACCGTGCAGTAGTAGGGGGTATTTTGCTCTCGGTGAGAGGCGGATGGCTCCCCCCAATCGTCCCCCTTCTCAACTGCGTGAGAAAACCTCGCCTCTTGCAGGCGACTGTTTTTCTCTTCTGTGTCTAGAGAAGCATGGCCAGAAGAGCTAGACTCGGAATCGTCCTCTGACGAGTCCGAAGAGGACGACTCCTCCCCTCTCCCGGAGGGGCCCGCCTCCTCTCCTTTAAAAAAAGCAGGAGAGAATGTAGAATTGTCAACTGTAAAATGGGAAGGGGTCACTTTGACTCCTCCCTCAGAACTGCCGGCTTTCAAGCCGCTTTGTTTCACTTCCACATCTGGCGCCTGGTCAGATGTTTCACTAATCGGCACCCTGTGGGAGGAGCCGTCTGAATTTGAGATCCTGGCAGTCTTTTTTGTTCTGGCCATCATGCTCTGCATAGACACAGATACAGTCGGACTTTGTATAAAGGGCAAAGATGGGTCCAGAAAAGGGCAGGCGGCACTCCTAGTCCTAGATTCAGCCGTCCCCGGTGACCGGCTGATCACTAATTTAGGTCGTGTCGTGTGCTTCGGTGGTGCCATTTCAAAAAAGAATAAAGAGAAAATTAAGAGTAAGAGAACCGACAGTTACCTGAACGAGTGACGATTGATGAAGTTCTGAAAATCCTTTGCAGTCGGCTTGTCAGAGCAGGCGGTAGGCAGAAAGGGTCAAAAATGTCAGAGCAAGTTCAGGGGTCCGAATGTTCTCTCACAAAGTATTCAAGTGTGAATGACCGAAGTCAACACTCCTTTATATAGGCGAAGTGAGAAGGCGAAGGGTCACTTCCAGAATTCAAAATTTTGGCGGGAGAATCTCTCGGCCTCTCGCCGACTGACACCTGTAGCAGGCCGTCGCCTGTTACAGGGCGATACCTGTCACAGGTAACACGTGACCAGTCACGTGCCACCTAAGAGGGGCAAATGATTAGGGGATTTTTCCCCACCAATCACCATCTGACAAGTGGACCAATCAGGTTCCGCCATGTGTCCGTCACATGGGCCAATAGGAGTCTGCCACGTGTCAAGCAATGATCCGTCCACCATGGACCAATTACGACACGACACGTGTCTTTCCCATGACACCTGGGATAACCGGTCACCTAGGCCTAACTTCTCAGGGAAGCCCAATCAGCCCAAGGTTAACCTAAACCTAGATTGGCACGTTTCCCGAGGTTATAAATACCTCCCTTAATCCTCATTAAAGGGGGGGACACGCTAAAAAAGCAATTGATGACTCTCACCTAGAGAAGTCTAAACACATTGATCACTCCTCCCCTAGAGGAACCAGATCTCCCACCTTTACTTTCCGCATTTATTACTCCTCAAACAAGTACTAACTTGATCGTTGGAGGCGGAGCTCCCACCACAAGGAGTCTCCGTTGTTTTGCAGGTACAGGCGTCCGGTTCCAGTCTCGGCATTGTAACTCTCCCGCAGGACATCAGAAAACCCCGAAACAGTTATGGTTAGGCTCATTGAGATTAGGGTGAATACAACATGTATAGGGTATTATTTAGAGACCTTATTGCCCCTAAACATGTTTATAGGAGTAGGGTATAACATCGAAGCACTAAAATTGGATTCCTATAATCGACAAGCATAGGGTGCGTACTAGCTGAATAACTACCTACACAAGGGTTGATGGAAGTGTATGTTGTCTTACAAAGTAACTCAATACAAGGATAGATAGTGATTTCGATTCGTATTTGTTTCGATTTAAGGTAGACGTAACTCCATCCTCTGCCAAACCACCAAGGACTCGTAACGCCATAATATATACTACATAAACCTCTAAACCATGGAATACTCAAGGTTTTTTTGTGCACTTCACAATTTTAAGCACACTAACTCACTACTCAAAGGGCCTGCAATTTCTACCATTTTATTAGACAGTGGTACAAAAAATCATATATTTTACACCATTAATACTGAAGTGGTTGGAAGAAAATAGGAAGGGAAGGATGATGTACTTCAGCAATTAGAGGAAGTGAGTGGGGTGAGAATGTGAGCTAAGTTTAAAAAAATATAGAATTTGAACTAGTTTTGTGGGAGGGAAAATTTAAATTTGAATATTTGATCCTATTTACCATGTTACCGTGGTAATCCTACTACTGTAGGTGACGCAATAGGTGCAGCACTAGGCCAGAGAACTGTCTTGTCAAAAGAAACACTAAATCGAATACAATGGTACATATATGTACCATTGACGAACTAATTGGTTTTATTTGTTCCACTATATGGTCTTCATAGGTATCATTGTGACAAAGCTGAACTACCCAAGTGTGCACTCCCTCTTAATGTGAAGATCGAATTTCATTTGGTGGAACACACATACAAGTGCATTGAAGGACTCTCAGTGGTACAAATCATATGGTAATATGTACCACTATTAACAGGATAATAACCATTTGCATTACAACGGTACCCTTACTAGTGTTAATGGCATCCATTGTATAAAAGCATATAAACTCGAATAGTAAAGGGATATTAACTAATTGTGCACTTGCATTGATTACGAATTTATATGCCACATTCAAAACACATGTTACGTCACACAATACATCAGTGAAGTTGTCAGTTGTACGTAATTAACAATAACAATTACTCGTAATAACTATTTTGCATACAGCCTACACAAGTACGCAGACTAGGTAGCTAACTCATAAAAACTTTGTAAACAATGTCAGTTGTAACAAAAGAGATTACGTTGCGTATGATAAGTACGTTATACATAAAAACATTACTCAACAGCGTCCAAATGGTTGTCCATACATTATGCTATTTTGGAAAATGTACTTAGAACTCACTAGTTTTTTGGGCCAAGTAATTAAAAAATCAGAAGCTATTTTGGAAATTTACTAAAGACTCACTAAATAATTATGTACCACCACATATCCTTACATACCATTACGAGGTAATTGGTACCCTAATGTATTATAACTTTGCACAGTGGTACCCTAGACTTTGCCCTCGTAAATGGTACGTCTTATAATTCTATAATGTGCCATTAAATATTCAGTGGTACAATAGGTGAAAATCAAAGTACCAATTATGTAGTACCTTAATCCCTTTGTTTGTTGTGTCAAGTAAGAGATTGAAGAAGTCATAACTATGAAGCCATTGTTGATGTATTTTTAAGCCCGCAAGTGCATACAAATGATATATTGTACTAAGAGTTGATATATTAAGTCTATAATTGGATCAATACTACGAATAGTGTTTTTACTTTGTAAAGCATGTATTCCAGATGGTTGCCATTACAATTATGAAGATCCCTATAGACGGTATATGAATGATTACGCGCGGTACCCGTATGATATACGACCAACGAATAATCACTACATGAGTAAAAGAACCGCTTTTATATATGATATAAGACATTTAAAATCTTATATCACTACATGAATGCTTTCCATACATTTAAATGTCTTTCCTTTCTTTGTCTACTATAGAATCCTAATTCGCGTTACGTACCGCATGCCTGCAGTGGTACAATCCTTTATTTGTTGTGGTAAATTATATAACTTAATTATACCACCTTGTTATGATCGGTACATCTTGTTGTCGATTTTTTTTTTTTTGTTTTTTTTTTATTTTGAAAGAAGATGTCGATTCTTATATCACTACATGACTGCTTTCCACATTTTAAATGCCTTTCATTTCTTGTCCTTCGACATTTTAAGTGTCTTTCTTTTTTTTTCCTACTATGGAATCCTACTTCAATCATGTTATTTTTGTTAGTCGCCATTGAATATATTGATATCATTAAACATAGAGTAGTACCCTTGGAACTACTAAGTGGTACTTTTATGTGTGCTCATTATAAGCAAAATAGATGCCATTGGTACTTTATGTGTACCAATTATATTCAAAATAGATGCTAGGGATACATTTGATATGCTACTAGTTGTGCTGTTAAATTGTACCAATTGCTAAATTGTACAGTTGTTACAGAGCAGCGCAAATAATATACTTATACGTAATAAAAAGTTTGAAAACAATAGATTAATTGTGAATGGATCCAGATGTGCCAGGAGTGAGGCCAAGGAGAGAAGCAAACACTCCACCAGAGTGTCCTCCCCTAACCGTAGTAAAGTATCCTAACGACCCATCCAAATCCCTCATTTGTATTCCCCCGACAGATGTGCCAGGAGTGAGGCCAAGGAGAGAAGCAAACACTCCACCAGAGTGTCCTCCCCTAACCGTAGTAAAGTTTCCTAACGACCCATCCAAATCCCTCATTTCTTCTTGGGTAAGGGTGGATCCTTAATCCTACCTGGGGCAGATCCTTCGTAGCTTCCTTGGAATCCACTAACTGGAGTAGTGTTGTTATTACGAATTCATGATGCCACTGTCATTGGTGTGTTTGTCCTCTTAGGCCCCTTGTTCTGTGCCACAGAAGACGGCGTTCGGGCAACTCCATGTACACCTTCATCCTCACCAGGACCATTCTCATTCCCTCCTGCAATCTGCCTTTTCGCAACCATTGCTAGAACTTCATCCACTCTCAGATCCATGAGCTGCAACATCTCTTTGACAGCCTGCACTGGCTCCTTACAAATGGAAGCCTTAGAGCAAATAGGTTCGTACGTCCCCATAAGATTGTGATAATTCCTCACTTCATCAGTAGTCAATGGATCATGGTAAGCAACTTTTACTCGTGTGTGTTTCCGTTGTACGTCCTTCCTTCAACGACAGAGTACATACTTCTCAGGAACAATAGTTACTCCATTAAGGTCATACACAAGAATCATATGTCGACAAATGATCCCATGACACTCAAAGTGTTTACAGTCACATGCAACTTCATACGTACTACTATCATATACAACCCGGTAGCATCTACGAATCTTTGTCACTTCATCCTTCTTCGCATTTTTAGGCTTGATCCAAACACGGTCTTCGATAATAAACTCAATTAGATTAGTACCAATTTCATACTGATCTAGGGGACGAACATACAACATCTTCTTGCACTGTCCCTGCACTTCTTTGAATTTTGCATCCGTATAACATTTTTGAAACAACACCTCTGCTGGGAAGTCAGTCACTAAATGCCTCACATACCGTTGTGTGTTCGAGTCTGCCATTCTTTCGGCCTCGGCCCTTACTGTCATAGCATCGCAATACCGAAGAACAAACTGAGACAACGTTGTCTGCTTGTTAACATACCCTTTAAAAAAATGATTGAAACTCTCTGAACGTTGAGTCGTTTTCATCCCAGCCCAGAATAAATGTTTCAAATACGCGGGAATCCACATTACTCGCTACTCATAGAGCCCTATTCAATATAACTACAATTATTAGTTTCATCAAATATACACTAGTTTACGACAAATACTAAGTGACACAAACAAAGACAGCTACAAAAGCTTCTGCTACCTGTACGTACTAATTGCAGTGGTACATTAAAATTGATAGTGGAACAACAAAAATAACCATTGGAACAATGCTACTACTTAGTGGTACATAACGCACAGACCAATATATTTACTCAAATATTCAGATCATCAACACCCCAATAACACATACAAAATCATGAGTAACTTTACTAAGAAACCATAAAGTATAAACCATTGAGTGGAAGAAACTAACCCTCTAGCCAAGCGTTGTCTTGTAGCTCGTAATGCTGAATTGCATCACACCATCGAGCTTCAAATTCATCAGAATCTAAACTACCGTATATGAGGCTATCAAAGTCACCCTTTAAAACTTTGTAATCATTATCATGCTTCACATACTTACCAAATTTCTGTAGGATGTGCCATATGCACCACCTATGGGTTGTTTCAGCCATTGTACAATGCACAGCTTTCCTAATTGGCGGATCTTGATCCGTCAGAATAGCTGTAGGGGCTTTACCGCCCATACAATGCAGCCATGTCCTCATCACCCACTCATACGTTTCTGCTGTCTCTCGAGAGATCAATGCACAACCAAACAATATACTCTGTCTGTGGTGATTCACACCAAGAAATACAGTAAAGGGAAAATGGAATTTGTTAGTCAAGTACGTACTAATAAAACAGACAACATCGCCAAACTCCTCATAGGCAGCTCTGCTCCTCGCATCCACCCATACAACATCTTGTAAGGAACCATCCTTCCCAAACCTACACAGATGGAAAAATTTTTGATTATCTGCACTCATTTTGTTGAAGTACTCAATCATCCCATTTGCATCACCCTCGGTAAGCTCCAGCCTCTTTTTCTCCTCCTCAGCCACCGCATTCGTCAAGTCTTTTTGAGTAAAAGTCAACTGATCCACTCCATTCACCTGCCTACCAAAACAACCGTACATCTGGGAAACCTTCACCCTTGACTTCTTCGCAGAAACCACCTGTTTCACCAAGTGCTTATGTTTGGTAACCAAATCGTGCTTCCTGTACATGGAAACATCCTTGAACTTTCCCGGTTAACTAGGTGACCAGTGTGCTCCAAGTTCACCCTACGAACAACCCAATTCCCTTCTGCATTAACACTTGCATACAACTCCACCTCACATCCACACTTTTTTGTTTTCCTTTGTACAACTGTCTCCTCGTCCTGAATCAAACCTTCCTTCAGTGGATCAATTTTACGCTTCCTATAAGGTCTTCCGTAGCAGTCATAGGTCCACTTAGCATTCCTTCGCTGCTTACAACACTTTCCAGTACCCAATTCCTTCTTCACCTTCACCCATCCAAAAGCAGCCCTCACTATTCCAAACCCCTTTTGCCTAGCATAGCTCCAGAAGTAAGTATCTAACTCATCCCAACTACCAAATACCATGCCCAAAATTGGGGGTGGTATTTCCTCTTCAACACCAAACACAGTTTGCACCATTTGTCTGCCCTTCTTTGGTGTTGTGAACCCTTCACCATCAACTACGTTTTCACCATGAACTGACTCATAATCTGACCCTAGATTTCCATGAATTGACTCATAATCTGACCCCTGATTTTCTCCATCATCTCCTTCTCCCATTTCATTCTCCTCCTCCTCCTCCTCATCCCATTCTGTAAATCCATCCTCACTCCCTAACCCCTCATCATACACATATACATCATCCTCACTATCATCTCCAACTGGCTCAACACCAACCTACAACACATATACATCCGTATCTCATTCTAGTGGATCATTATAGAACCAAACAAGACAATATAACCAACAAAAATATCATGCATTCTGCCCATATTCGAAATCACACAACCCACAAAACCAAAATTTTAGAACAAATGCCATCACAAAATACATAAAAAAAGGAAAAATCAACATTAATATACATCTACTCCATCAATTGAAACTACATTAGCCTACCATCAATTACAAACAACAACAACAAAAACGATTACAATTGAAAAACAAACTAACCCCTACTCCAAATTCATTACCCACATAACAATATACACAATACTTACTCAGTTAAATACTACCCCTACCAATAACCCCCAGCATGATTACTCAATTTCAAAATACTCAATACAAACCCTAACCTCTCCTTACCCAAGCTTTACTTTTTAAATTTCACAATTGCTTTCATTCATTACCCCATTCTCGCTAAGAAACTAACAACAACGCTCTAAAATACATAACTTACCATCTCAGAGTCGAATCTCAGCTCCCTTGCGCAACCATGCCCATTTTCTCCATCTTCCCGAATTGCTTCCGCCAGATCGACACCCAAAATATCTTCTACCCGATTTCTCATTCTACTAATCCACTGCTGCACTTACGAATTCAAAATTTGACAAAAAAAAATTTGGCTTGCTGAGCTACATTCTTCGTCTCCATTGATGAAGAGCTTCCATTTTTTAAATAAAATTAACTGACATGCAAGTCATTTGTACCTTAGTGAAAATGTTTTCCCGCTTCTTCTTTTCACTCCCCGTTACACTTCAGTTGTCCCGTTATACTAATGGCCCACTTGCATGATATAAAGTTACAGCTAATTGCAAAACTTCCATCCTATATGTTCCTTCACCCATAGGTGCTATGCGCCAAGACTTAACCAACAAAAACAAGAACTCGATCACAAAAAGAACCAACAGCATCTAACAACAATGAATGAAAATTATTAGGGTAAGAAATTGCTACACTTATCAGTTACTCGATCAAAGGAAAGAAAGGTGAAATTACTTCAAATAAAAAAATAAAAAAATAAAAAAAAACTCAAGTACACATTGTCACACTATTCATTAATTGGTTGCCCAAATTTAAGCATTTTGCTCTAATATTTAGGATCATTCAAAAGAAATCTGATGAAGATTGAACTTCATTATATTGAGTATTAGTGTCACCTTCCTCATCTCAATTTAGTTTTTTCACCTAAACTGTTAATGTCACAATCAGTATCACAATCATAAGCAATTTTGACCCCATTCCCTCTAAGTTTCCTTATGGGATGTAAGTATTTATTCAAGTTTTTGGAATTTTAACCTTCTATAGAAAGGTAGAAATGTCGAAGAGAAGGAGAGTTTGCTTCAATCGTGTGAATAAGGTTGGCCAAGATATCAGTCCCCTTTCTCGTTAGAGGTGTTAAAAACTGACCCCCATTCCGAACTGAAAAAAAATAAATTTTTATTTCGATTTGTATAGACACAATAATTTAGCATGACTCAAATTTTAAATGGACTTATCCTAACTTCTATGAACCTAAGCACACTCAAATTAACACCTCTACCACTTCTTATCTTTAGTTGTAAAGAACCTCATGGATAGGGTACATATCAACCATTATGAGGGACTCAAATAACATATCTATGAGATAAAACAATGAGAAAGGATATACAAGGGATAAATATAAGAGAGGGGTCTTAAAGAAAATGAAGACAAAGAGGAAAATCAAGGGAAGAGAGAGAGAAAGATTGGTGTCTGAATTTAGGAGAAAGTAGAAATGAATGAAGGCTAAGTGTAAGGAATATTTCAAGCGTTAACCCTTAGCTTGAACCCCACTGTGATCATACACTAAAGTACGGTGGCGTCCAAAGGGAAAGAAGATTGAGCAAAAAAGTCGCCAACAAGTTTTAGGAACTTGTAAACCGTTCACGAGGTGAAGGTTACACCCCTTAACGATCCAAGAGATCGTCAACTCCATAAGGTCTTGAACCAAATAGGGTTCGGGGATGAAGGTACAAATCCAACCTAAAAGAGATTGAACCTTCCCTAATAATAGGCCTCTACTTTATTCTGGTCGTATTCATGTGCGTTTTTTTACTATCATGCAATCAATAGGTTTACCCTAAACCTATTTATCTATCTTGGTTGAATATTAATGCACAAATAAAATTATTATTGGGGATCACTTGAATTATAATCAAATTAACCCTAAAGAAGATTATTAAATATCTTATTAAGCGTGATTACAAGTACAAATTCCCTTTAAACATGCATAAAAGGCGTGATCAAGCAATAACAATACAAATCAAGCAACATAATAATAATCATCAAAATAATAATTATAATCATACTATTAACCATAATTAACATAATCATGTTAATATTAAAGCATAGCAAGATCCTAGGCATGATACTAACAAGATTAAAAACAAACCCTAGCATGTCACTAAACATTAAAGATCAAAACTTTAACCCTAGCATGATACTAACAATCATAAATATTAAGAAAGAAAATAAAAGGCATCATACTTTTAATCATACTTAATATTAAAGTTACCCTAGACATGATACTAGGAATATCATAATAACAACCTAAACATGATTTCTACATCATAATATCAATTAAACCATTAAAATACTTACAATGATGCCACATACCTCTTTCTACTAACAAAATACACACGTTAGTAACTTCAAGGAAAATAATAAACAAAATAATTAAATTAAATAATTGAAGAGAGATTTGGGATCAAACCCTCAAAAATTAAACCTTTCACGTATAGGGGAGAAGGCAACTTTGAATATGGCTAGGTGTATCTAGATCTAATGAATGCGGAATTTTTATATTTGAGAGAAGGCTAGTTTAGAAGAGAGAGAGAATAAGAATAATCAAGAGAATCTTGATGAGAGTTCGTGAGAATTGGTAGATTGTAGATTGTAGATAATTGAAAACGGAGTTTTTACGACATTATTTATAAAGAAAATCAGCCAAAAAGATAAAATTTCAAAAACAGAGTTCTGGCGCAAAAAACCGAGTTGGTGCCAAACGCCAAGTCTAGCGCCAGGCGCCAATCGTAGCGTCAGGCGCTACAGCTGGCGTTTGGCGCTGAATCAGAAATCCACGCGTTTTCTTAAAATTAGATAAAAATTGTCGTACAGGAGGATAAAATCGTATTTCTCCTTAAAAATGCTCCATGATTTTAATTAAAACTCTAAAAAAAGTCAAATGTCAATTTATCAATGCTAATTGAATTAGGAATGAAAAGAACCTTCTAGAAGAATCTAGAAGACTAAAACCATTCCTAATTGCATTAGGAATGATAAATCTATATTAGGCCCTCCCCTAGTTCATTGGGCCGCATATAAGGCTCAAACCGGGCCTAGTTCAGTAAATTGGCCATAACTTCCTCAATATTCATCGGAATTGGGCTTATAATATCGTTGGAAAGCTCTTGTCAAGCCCCATCCAACTACACTACTATTGGACCCATATCATGGACCTACCAAACTGGATTGGCTGTTTTCTTAAAATAAGTTTTCAAAAATAGAGAGAAGTGTGGGGAATAAATTTCAAGCTTTAATCCCACTAGCTTGAACCCCACTGTGATCATACACTAAAGTACATGGCATCCAAAAGGGAAGAAGATAGAGCAAAAGAGCCGCCAACAAGTTTTAGGAACTTGTAAACTGTTCACGAGGTGAAGGTTACACCCCTTAACGATCCAAGAGATCGTCAACTCCATAAGGTCTATAACCAAATAAGGGTTCGGGGATGAAGGTACAAATCCAACCTAAAAGAGATTGAATATGCCCTAATAATAGGCCACTACTTTATGCTGATCGTATTCATGTGCGCTTTTTAATTAACATGCAATCAATAGGATTAACCCTAAACCTGTTTAATCTATGTTGGTTGAATTTAATGCACAAATAAAACTGTTATTGGCGATCACTTGAAATTATAATCAAAATTCACCTTAACAAGATTATTAAATATCTTATTAAGCGTGATTACAAGTACCAATTCCCTTTAAACATGCATAAAGGCGTGATCAAGCAATAACAATGAATAATAAGCAACACAATAATAATCATGACAATAAAATTATAATCATAATAATAATCATCATAGATAAAATAATCATCATCAAAATAATAATAATAATAATAATAATAATAATAATAATAATAATATTCATAATCATCATAAATTATAACAATTATAATCATAATCATGTTCATGTTAATATTAAAGAATAATAATAGCAAGATCCTAGGCATGATACTAACAAGATTAATAACAAACCCTAGCATGTCACTAAGTAATAAAAATCAAATCTTTAACCCTAACATGATACTAACAATCATAAATATTAGGAAGAGAATAAAAGGCATCGTAACAATCATATTTAATATTAAAATTACCCTAGACATGATACTAGGAATCAAAATAACAATCTAAGCATGATTTCTACATAATAACATCAATAAAAACCATTAAAGTAATTACTTTGATGCTTCGTACCTCTTTCTAATAACAAAATACACACGTTAGTAACTTCAAGGAAAATAATAAATAAAACAATTAAATTAAATAATTGAAATAGAGATTTGGAACCAAACCCTCAGAAATTAAACCTTTCACGTCTAGGGCGAAGGCAACTTCGAATATGGCTAGGTGTTTCTAGATCTTGTGAATGCGGAATTTTGTATGTAAAAAGCAAAGTAAGAATTAAAAGAAAAAAAGAATTAAGGAAAGAGAGAGAGATTAGAAAACAAATTGTAGATGAATGAATGATCGTGAGAATTGGTGAATGAAAACGGAGTTTTTAATACGTTATTTATAGAGAAAATCAGCCAAAAAGATAAAATAAACAAAATAGAGTGACGCACAAAAAACAAAGCTGGCGCAAACCCTGGCTAACTGGCGCTAGGCACCAACATTAGCGCCAGGCATTAGGCCTGGTTCCAGGCACCAAAGCCTGGGGTCAGGCGCCAAGCCTAATTTTAACGCGTTTTCGAAAATCAGATAAGTTTGCCGTACTGGAGGATAAAATCATTTAATTTCCTCGAAAATGCTATTTGATTTTGATTAAAACTCTACAAAGTAAACCAAAGTCAATTTATCAATGCTAATTGAATTAGGAATGAAAAGAACCTTCTAGAAGAATCTAGAAGACTAAAACCATTCTTAATTGCATTAGGAATGATAAATCATATTAGGCCCCTCCCCTAGATCATTGAGACGTATATAAAGCTCAAACCGGGCCCAGTTTAGTAAATTGGCCATAACTTCCTCAATATTCATCGGAATTGGGCTTATAATATAGCGTTGGAAAGGTCTTTGCAAGCCCCATCCAACTACACTATTATTGGACCCATATCATGGACCAAACAAACTTGATTGGCTGTTTTGTCAAAAACAGAGAGAAGAGAAAAGAAATTAAAACTATCCGCAACACTAGACTTTCCACACTTTCAATTCATTCGATTATGATTCGACGTGAAAGGTACTCATCACTGGGTTTAGTTTTGGGGAGACACAAATGGGTGTCTACAGAAGCCCCCACTTTGACTGAGTTTGGAGAAACG